GCCCTATGGCCAGTAAATGTTTTTACGAACGGATCGAAGCGGACTGGAGATTTCACTGGTTGTGCCTTCAGGCGCTAAAAGCGGGATATGGAAGAATTTTTGTTTGGAAGAGTGGGAAGAAAAAGCAGAGCTACTATCCACGCATTTACTAATAAGTTGTACAAACCGTATGCCATGAAAGCTACAAAAGTAAAAAAAAAATCACTTCGGTTTTACGAGCGTGAGTCGGATTTTTTATGCGTGCGTGAGCGTGGCAAATTTTTTTTTCTCTGAGTGATTTAAAATTTTCTCACATGCGCATCTCTACTAGAGCTTAATGGCATCGCTGAATATGTAAAAACTGGGTAAGAGTATTTTGACAACCTGTGCTCTACGCTTTGACCAAATGATTTAATCTTAGCTCTGAGTAAGCGATTGTTAATTGATTTTATTATGTTTATTTATTCAATGCCTGCGTATGCATTAATTTAAGCTAAATTAAAATAAAATATACATTCAACAAATTTTTTTTTTAATATAGCTTACAGAATTTCCCATGCAATCATTTTAACTGTATTTAATTCAAAGTGGTCATTATGCTGCAAAATCGGCTCTTATTTCTTTATTTATAAAAAAAAAAAAATGTAAGAGAAAAACAAAACATTTTTGCAACGCGAATACATTTAAATGCTGCGCTAGCAAGTTTCTTTCCCATACTAACCTCCATCGTTGACAATTATACTGAATATTCAATCCATTAGTAGCCTCATACATTTCAATTTAAAAATTAAAACTTTCACTAAAACTCACATGCCACTTTTTCATAATTCGCTTAAAAAAACTTTAATGTAACAGTTCTGCGTTCTTTTAATCCCATGAAATTTATCGATATGAAATGTTCGTAATGGAAAGTAATTAAAAATCATAATTTTTTGTTGTTTGTTCTGCTATATATTTTGTGTATACATATACTTACGCACATATATGTACATACATACACTCAAGTGTACAAAAATACAACAATAACTTTAGCGAACTACTGTCATTGCTCTGCCGAGGCACTGGCAGTTTTCAGCGAGTATGCACATACATACATATATATGTGTGTATGTACTTATGTATGTATGTTTATAGTACGATACCGCCGCATATTGACAATTTCCTTCCTACATCACAACGTTGCAGCCAATTATTTTTGTCCCAGTTTTGAAAATTATAAATTTCTTCATTAATTTTTAATTATGAACGAAATGGAAGTCTGAAACTTTTTTATGCTACGATGTCGACGCAACTTGAGGGGAGGGTGGATAACCGTAGAGCAGCACTGTGCAGATGTGAAGTGTTGATAGTGCAGCGAAAGAAGGAAGCGAAGTGTTTCGGAAAATATTTGAAGTTTTAAGCTTTTCTGTAAATGAATTTTAACCAATATTTCCTTGTCGTATATCTAAATTTGTACTTATTGTGGAGCAAGCAACGGCGTACAAGAATTTCAGATGAGAAAATAATTTTCAACACAAACACATATATACATACATATACAGGGAGGACTATACTAAATATGATTTACCAAATCGGGGATACTCTATTCTTTGGTGGTATTACCAGAACAGGAAGTCCACTCAAGATAAAAGTTTCCGACTACAGTTATGTATTTGTGCCCGCAAAATCTGAATCTGTGCTAAAAACATGTACAAAGGGAGCCGTTGTGTGGAAACTCTCTCGTACCCGGTTTAAAAGCCCGCTGAAGTCTTCAGTGTTTGTTTAACGCGAGAGTAGGCCTCTGAAATGGAGAAAACCACTCGCTATATAAATGCAGCCTCGATTTTGGGTTGTGCGCTGGGTTTGGGGACCCACCACGTAAAACAAACTTTCAATGAAAATAGCAATGTTGCTCGAATGTGCTATGATTAGAGGGCATCCACTTGGCATAGGAAAGCTGCCTCATCCTGGTTGATTTAGAGCTATGCTTCAGCACATGTATGCAGTGGACGGGACTAAATAGAAAGAACATATCAAATTGCAACGCCTACTACAGCTGCCATGTAAAGAGGCGTAAGTTCGGTGCAGGATTTAACTATGAAGGCAAAGGCACAGTCGCGGAGTACCGTCGTTTACCCCAGTGGGCGCGCAAGGTTCTTGAACATCTCGCAACATCCTCGAGATAAGAGAAGGGAGAGGCCTACAAATTTCTTTTCTATGAGCGTTTAAAGTGCTCTTATGAACGCTGCCCTAGTTACGATACCAAAATCGTGCTGCGCAAAGAAGCGATCTTAGCCTCCACGACGAAACTTCTGATAAAGCGCTGAAGCTGATCGCCTCCACCGAGCCCGCATAAGAATGAATAATGTCAAGACACGATAAGGCGCTTCTTGGGGTGTCGAGAGAAAGATAATCCGGGAGACTTACGCAATTTACGTGTTGGCGATGGTAAATACCGCAGACGATGAAACAATGAGCTGTATGAGATTTACAACGCCATGGACATAGTGCAGCGAATTAGAATTCAGCGGCTCCGCTTGGTTTAGTCAAGTCGTACAAATTGATGCGAATGCTTCATCCCAGATATACAACAACACACCTGTTGGTGAGTTGGTGGCAGCAGATGAAGAGGAAGGCCTCCTTATGATGCAAAGCTGAGGTGGAAAAGGACTTCACTTGGTATTCCAATTGGCGACAATTGGTACGAAATAGAAACGAATGGTGTGCTTTGCAAATGATATTTCTGATAGATATAAACCGGAGTCCATCCTGAGCCCGTCTGTGAGGCCATTTCTTCGGCCACTTAGTGTCTTCTGCACTATCTTTAATATGGGATTGTATCCGGCTACCAAGTACCAGCGGAGTTTCTTAAAAAACCCGCTCCACCAGCTCTGAGCACCTTGTGCCTCTTAATTTCACAAGTTACACACCATTCAGTTAGTTCTTTCTTGAGAAATTGTGAATCAAATTCCATATTGGTTTTGCAATAATCACCTTTGTTTGTCATGTCTTCTTTAACCTATTTTCAGGTCTAGCTGTACTCTCTTGTTTCCCACATTTCAATTTCTCTAAATATTTTTACTTCATCTGTATTCGATTCTAAACTTGCCAAGCCTAGTAATATTGCAAAGTGTTGTCAGCGATACCCCCTATCAGCAGACCGTGAGAAATGCGCATTAGATGAGTAGAAATAAAGGAGCATAGGTAGAGTAGACTTGTGAGCCAGCGGTGGTGTTAGCTTTTTGCAGAGCTCTCCATGCCCTGCCACCTGCCACGGCGGTAGGTGCATCGCCAGTAAGTGCGAGGATGGGAGCATCAGAAATTTGTTATGTAAATGCTATCCCAGCGACATGGGAAGCTAAATCGTGATTGTCCTTAGTTTGACGGTTAAAGAGGTCTAGAATTTGATTATTTGCGCAATGTGATACTGTCAAGTTCACCAACTGGCCAACTGATTAAGGTGTGTCTTGTCGTCGAGTGTGAAGTGGGCTTTTGTGGTTCCTTAGAAGCTCTTTTGGCACGCCATTTTTATTCTCATCAATATGGGCTAGCATGTTGGTTCTTGAAGGAGAAAATCACTCTTATATCTACAGTACTCATGACTAAAACATAAACTACGGAAGAAGATTTTTACAGCTTTCCGTGGTGTAAAAGCTCTCTCTGATCATCGCTGATTGTAGATTTAAAAAGTTTTGCCCGCATACCTCGGGGGTGGCCAACTTGTAACAAATGCACCATGAGGGCAAAAAGCGGTTTTAAAAAAATTTTATAAGAAGGGCTCACACAAAAGCTTGGGAATGGCCTACATTTAGCAAATGTAGCATGCGGGAAAAGAGCTGCTTAAATAGCTTTTTTAAGGTTTCATGTAGTTAAGAGGCCTTTACATGTGTATATATGGTTGTCACGACCAACACATAATCCTCGGTAGAAGCTTTTAACGGCTTTTTATAGATATTTTAAAGGTGTAATCCCGTATTCCTCGGACTCGGACTAGTAAAACTGTCAAAAAATAAAAATTCGCTCAGAGCGAGAGAGTAACATTGAAAAGTACGGGATCGCTTTCTAGTAAAAAATGGTAACTTCTGTCAACTTCAACATAACCTCCAAATTTTGGTTGTAAATTTTTGCTTATTTTGTATGTAAACACACTCAGCTCACACATGTAAATAACCAAAAATACTTTCAAATTCATTAGAATCCACTTAAACAAGTAATTAAATACTTTTCAACATGAATTAGGAGAGTGCACCTTTCTTTTGTTTACAATTTGGTTGCCAAACACACTACAGCTGATTGTTTGACACATTTACCGAATTTACCAGCAAAAAATTCTCGGACCAAAACTGATAACTTCTGACAGAGAGAGAACCGTATTTACTCTCTTTTTTGTGCTCTCAATAGTCAGAGAACCGAGTACGGGATCGATTTCCAGTAAATTCTGACTGATTCTGACTATTTCTGACTAGTCCGGACTCGTACGGGATCGCAACTTAAGTATACGCTCACAGAGTAAAAGCTCTCTCTGGTCGTAACTGGTCCAGCACGGTGATGAGTGGCACCTTGTCTGCTTTCAGAGTAAAATCTCGCAATACGCATTACTGGTTTAACGTATTAACTTTATTTGGTCGGTAAGAAACGACTAAAATACCTATAGCCTGAGTGTAGAGCTTTTTAAAGCTTTCTGTAGGTTTTTGTGGGCGCAGAGTGAAAGCTCTCTCTGGTCGTCGCTGGCTTAAACTAGTTCATCGAAAATCTTTAGAAAGCTTAACTAGTTTTTTTTCCTAACCTTTTTTTGGCTTTGACCAGTTGGCGCTGGTTTTAACCAGCTCATAGGTAGGAATCTTTTTTTCTTGGACATCTTCTCTGGCTTTGACTGGTTGCAACTTACCTTTTCCAGTTTTCCGGCGAAGCCCTTTCGCATGTAATTTTATTATATTTATTACGTTTTTTGTATAAAAGTTTAAAAATCAATTTAAAACAATCTATTTTTGCATACACACATACATATACAAATATGTACATAGATATCTATTTGAACTCACCAGCAGCACACTTTCCCATGCCATCCATCGTATGGGCATCGGTTGCGTTTGACGTCCGGAAGTACCCTCCAGCTGACAGTAGTCGGCCGCGTAAGCGATGCGATTTATCACAGTGCCAATGGAGCAGACTTTTATCGTCAATTCCGGGCCAATAATGCAACTTCTGTAAATAAATACAAACAAAAGGGAAACAAATTGTAAATGAATGCATTGCACATTGCGCCACTCAAAACCGCACTCGAAATTGAAAATTCAATTAAAAATGACGAAGAGCATTTCAAAAAAGAAAAGGATGTAAATGGAAGAAGAAAAAAAAAATCAAAAATAAAAGAATTATCAAAATCAAAAAATTAAATAAACAGTTAAACAACAAATATCAAACAGCGCAGCACAACAAACAAACACACGCGTACGCTGACTGGTGGTTGTTGCTGCTGTCCCCACTGACATTTCGTTGCCTCAAGGCAATAAGCGTTTTTAACCCTCACATGGCTGGTGCGTCAACTGCTGCCAACTGCCATCCCACCGCTTTTGGGAGTGTGGCCGGTTTATCCCCGCCGGTGATGTTGGTATTAGCACATCAAAGCTAGTGACGTGGCAGCCATGCTTTCGTAACGCGCCCCCCACCCCCCTACGACGATGGCGCGTCAAAAGTTGACAGACGTGGCGGTGAGGTGATGAAATAAGAAAACAACGACTTCGAGCAATCAACGCAAAACATTTCAACGAATACTTATTTATTCACATTGAACTCGATTTCATTGCTCACAGAGTGCGTTTGAACATGCACAGCCATCAAGTGGTCAACGGAGTCGTTTCCACTGGGGAATATATGNGCAATCAACGCAAAACATTTCAACGAATACTTATTTATTCACATTGAACTAGATTTCATTGCGCACAGAGTGCGTTTGAACATGCACAGCCATCAAGTGGTCAACGGAGTCGTTTCCACTGGGGAATATACATACATATGTATGTATGAACTTTACCCATTCTACAGGCAAACAAAAAAATATATATCCTTTCTATATCTATATACATACTTATCTACTTATTAACCCTCTGGCAAACAGTAGCAAACCAAAAATGAAAGCATTAAATCCTCCATGCAATCAACAACTGGCACTGGCAAATCAAACCAGTGAAGAGTAAATAAATGTGGGCAGTGGCGGTGGGCAGAGGTGTGGTGGGTTGTGCATTTTGTGGGTTTAGGTTGATATGTGCCAGAAGAGTGGAAAAGTGTTGAGAATGTGGCTAGATGAGTGGTTTCGCGAACAGAACTGCTGTTTTAAGTTTGGTTTTTCTTGGAAATGTTGAGAATTTTTAATGGACTTTTAAAGTGTTTTCGCGACTCGATAATTGACATGTGAGACTTCGAAGAATCGCTAGTTAGAAATAATTCAAATGAAAATATATGTATGTATGTACATATCATCGCCGCCGCCGTAAATGCTAGTGAACCCAAATTTGCGGTCAAAATAACTTTTTGGTTCTGACGGAAAGGAGGAAAATATTTTTCATGTTGGTCAAAGCATATATTTTTCTTAATATTTACATAAAATCGGTAAAAATTATTGAAAATAAAACTTGATAACTCCAAAAACATTTATTTTTTCAATTCAAATTTGCTTACTCCATAATTATATGAGTTAGTACAAACGATCTCATTCCACACGAATTTTCGATTGAATTTGACACACACGTTCTTCGGATTTTGACAAGCAGATTTCCCAGACTATTGATTGAGAAATCTCAGCGCTAAATTTCCATCGCTAAAAACTCTAAATCAATAATGCTTGTGCCTAAAAATATAGAACACCGCACATAGGGACGAATCGAGAATATAGGGCGAACAAAATGTTTACTCCATATGTAGTATTTCACAGATTTCAATGGAATTTGGTACTTTGGGGTTGTCGTTATCGCTGATTTCGAAATATATATTAAATTTTCAAAATTCAAAATGGCGCATAAAATAGGGCGAACGACTTCTTTAAAAAAATTATAGATTGAAATAAAATTTGATAGCTAAGAACTCTCGGAGTCACTCATTACGAATTTATTAATTGATTTCCAAAATTCATAAAATTATACATATAATTTTGGGGAGCGGTAGTTAATTCTGCTTTCCAAAAATTATTCGGTTGAAAATTATGAAAAAAATGTGAAAATATTCTTTGCAGTCAAAATTCTGTATTTTAAAATTTTGTAAGACATAAATGATGTAGAATTAAAATTCTGAATTCAAAATTATTTTGGGCCGAAATTTTGTACTTTTTTCAGCCTATGGGGCTGTTCAGGGTCTTTTGCATACTAAGTGCATTTGTAAATTTCCAACAATAAAATGTAAACGGTTGTCATGGTAGCATTTGGTGTACACTTGTTTTATTTATCCATATAGTTTTCCGATTTTTCCATACACTGTTTTGCAATACTGAATATTAAAATACAGAATTTTGCTATACAGAGTTTTGAATACAGAATTTTAAGTACAAAATATTGAACCATAATAGTTTTGTACCCAACCCATAACTTTGATCTCTAGATTACGATACCGTTTTCAGAAAATCCGTATCGCGTCAAAATTTCAAAATATTTAGTGTGGCTATTTTATGAAAAAAATTCGAGCTTTAAGAAGGAAAATTAAATTTAAAAAAATAAAAAATTTTTTGGAAATTTTTTCATTTGTATTAACGCCTTTTTTTTACGAGAAAATCAAGCTACTAACCATTTTGAAATTTGAAAATATAAAATTTATTTCACAATCAGTGGCCTTGAAAACCCCTGGGTTCTAATTTTCATAACAATCTATAGTTTTTTTTTTTTATTCGTCCGCCATATTGATCTGCCATTTTGAATTTCGCAAATTATTTATGATATTCGTAATTAGTGACCTCGAATGCCCCTATATATGAAGTTTAATTGAACTCTGTCAAATACATACGAAGTATATATATTTTTCGTACTGAATTCTCGATTCGTCCCAGTATGCGACCTAAGAAAAAGATGCTATATTTAAAGAATGTTGAAACGAACTATTCGAACTATTAAATAGGGGTCGTTGGACTTTTTGGAACTCTTTTAATAACTCTAGTTTATATAAAAATTAAATTTTTTAAATATAAAATTTTGTTTTATAAATACGTATTATAACCATTCTACAAACAACTACTTATGTATATTATTAACAAAAATCGCAAATTAAAATACTTAGCTAACGTCTCACTATCTATTTTGACACAACTGTTATTTATTAATAAGAATCAAGTGACAAGCGAAATTATTTTATCACCGCTTCAAACAAAAAATTATTTAATTCCACGCACGAGAGAAGACCCTAGTTTGGGCTTCTGCTAAAGCTACTGCGTTGCGTTCAAAGTCAAATTTTGTATGTTACATTGTAAACTAGTTTATAAAGAGTATTACAAAGGTATGTGTGATATAAGATTTAAAGAGTTTTGTTTTTCTATTTTTGTTGTCGGAATTAGTCACTTTGTCCTTACGTGCACCGCCAGCGAAACATAATAAAACCATGTTACTTTCGATTTTATATTGAAGCCTTTCCGCTTTCGGGTTGCACATTTTTAGGCCCATATGTTATTAATTTAGAGATTTTTAGTGACGTAAATTTAGCGTAGCGATNCTGTCAAAAAAACGACTGGTAAATTCTTGGGAGCCTATCACTTCGGGAAGTGGGAAGAAATCTCAAAAGTAAAGCTGACCTACTGGTCTATGTGTCGCTCAACGCCGGCCAGACGAATCTAATCTGATCTAACCGCCACCACTGCGGAACTCGTTTATGACGCACCGAGACTGATCTCTCTAGCTCAGTTCATATTTTTAACGTTTCATATCTACAAGTGTGTTGAGTGAAAAATTTCCGTACATTTGGATATCTTTCATTTCATTTGACAAGCATTGACATCGACGGCGACACGTGCCATTTTTAGTATTTCATTCATATAAACTTTCATATGTGTATTTACTCACATGCTGCATAATCACAATCTCGTATGTAAGTACATATGTGAACCTAAACGGATTTGTATGAGTACTTGCGTATCTGCCACCACATTTTCACTTTCTTCGAAATGCTTCAGTGACGTCTGCTTTATGCTTTTTGGCAGCACAATTTATACACTTCACAAATCCTTTTACAAAAACCATTACAACAATTTCAAGCATTTGAGTATTAACTCCCCAATTTCATTTGACATTCCCTTTTTAAATGCGGGCAAAGAATGCTTTGGCTTTACTGGAAATGGACTAATAACGGTAAAGTTATTCGAATGACAGACATCTTGCCGCATGGCATTCTGATTATTGCAATTCTTATTGATTTTTATCCGTTAAGTAGCTGTTGCTTTATTAAATGGAAGTATGAGCTGTGAAATGTAATGCTGAAGGACAATGAAAGCAATTGCTGCGATTTAAAGAGAACCCAAAAAATATGTGTCCGAACTATAATTATTTGGAAAGCTGAGTTTCACACTCTTTTATTACAGCAGTGTATGAAAATACTTATATAAAAAAAAAGTTGTGCGCGGATGCCACGCGTGACTGAAATGGAACTTCTTCTTCCTATTACCCGCACAGCTCACCATATTATATAAGTAATTCTCTACAAAATAATGTATAATTATTCTAACTAGTATCGCCCAGTTGTCGAAATTCGACATCTTTTTTCATACACTTTTGAATTTTACCTGTCACCAATACTAACTCCTTTATGCGAATTACTATTTTGAAGTCCACCAACATAATTTTTAGCGAATTTGCAGGAAAACTTAAAATCGAATTATGAACGTTAATACCAGACTGATTAATGCTAATTCTACCAAGTCTCCTCTAAATTTCTTCAGTAGCTTTTGAAAATAGACCGAGAAAGGAATCTCGATTTTCATTTATAAAAAATATGCATATGTAATTGAATGTATAGATGTCAAACATATACCAACTCAGACTGTAAATAAGTTTTTCTTTCTTTCATCAGAATCGTTAATGGTGGATACTCTATCTTGAAGATTTACAACAAAAGATAATATTTCCTTCTCTAACGGAGGTTTCACACGGGTTTTCGTCAAGACTGGGCCAGAGCCCAATATTTTTCCATCACACGATTGGGCTACCGAGTTATACGAAATTTTATGTAACTAATATGTGTTCTAAAAGTGAAATAAATCTGATCATATATATGATTTTGTTTAGGATAGCTCTCACTCCCCTTTGCCATCTATCGGAAGACAAACACACTGAATCTTCTAAAAACGTTTGCACAAAATAACAATCATTTAATGCGATTTTCAAATCTGGGAGAAAATGGTTCCCAACTGAATGATTCTTGCGATTTTATATGTGTATAAATGTAGTTGAATGAAATTCCATTACCTTATAATAAGTTGTTCCAGAGATAAGCTATATGAGAATTTCAGTTTGTATGGACGGTTCCACGCCCCTTTTTCCAAAATCTACCACTTTTTGCCGTAAATACGTATTGACAACATATGTTGCTGCGTCAAATTTCAGGAGGTTAGCATAGGCTTTCCCAGAGATAAGCGATATGAGAATTTCATGTGCGTAAGTGGTTCCAGAGATAAGCGTTATGAGAATTTCAGTTTGTATGGGCGGTACCTACCATTTTTCACCGTAAGTAGGGTATTTACAATCTATGCATCTGTGCTAAGTTTCAGTTCCCCAGCATGATTGATTTTAGAGATATAGTGGTTTTCACATTTTAGTCTATATGTCAGATGCCACGCCCCCTATGTATCGGGATTAACATTTCCGGATTAGAGGAAGTTATGTCCTTTAAATCGGTGTATGTTTCATTGAAATCGAGCGAAGGGTGCCTTCAAAAAAAGGGATTGCAAAATTTTCTTGTGGCGTATTTATATATAGATTATAATGTCAGCTTCAATTCCAAACATAATCTTAATTTCAATCTTGAGCTTAATCTTAATCTGAATAATAATCTTAATTATAATCTAAATCTTAATCTTAATCTAAATCTTTATCCAAATCCTAATATCATTCATGATTTGAATTAAAATTTTTATCTTATTCTTAACCTCAATTTTAACCTTAATCTTAATTCCAATCTTAATCTCAGTCTTAGCCTTAATCTTGACATTAATATTAACCCTAATCTTAATCTTAATTTTAGTCTTAATCTTAATTTAATTTTTTTTTCTAATTTTAATTTTATTAATCTTAACCATACCTCTTAATGTTAATGTTAATCTTAATCTTGATTTTAATCTTAAGGTTAATTTAATTCTAAATCTTAATCTTAATTTAATTTTTTTTTCTAATTTTAATTTTATTAATCTTAACCTTACCTCTTAATGTTAATGTTAATCTTAATCTTGATTTTAATCTTAAGATTAATTTAATTCTAAATCTTAATCTTAATATAAATGTTAATCTTAATCTCAATATTAATATTAGCCTTAATCTTAACCTCAATCATAATCTTATTCATGACATTACTTTTATATTAATTGATCTCAATTTAAATCTTAATCTTGGTATTAACTTTAAGCTTAATCTTTAAATTTGTCAGCTACAAAAGTCTTGTCACCGATATGAAATTGGGCTATTAATCTTAATCTTCATCTTAATCTTAACCTTAATTTTAATCCTAATTCTAGTCTTAATTTTAGTTAATCCTAATTCTAATATTAATCTAATTTTAGCTTTAAGCTTAATCTTAAACCTATTCTTAATTTTAGCCTTAATCTTAATTTGAACTTTAATCTTACTCTTTATCTTCATCCTAATCTTAATCTTCATCTGAGTCTTAATCATAATCTTAATTTTAATCTTAATCTTAATCTCAATTTCAATCTCAATCGCAATTTTAATCTGCATCCTCATCTTAATATTAACTTTAATCTTAATCTCAACTGTAACCTTAATCTTATTCCAAATTGGTAGAAGGGATATCTCAGTGACGAGTGTTACTACTTCTATTCCATAATATATGTGTAGACAGTTTGCTGAAAGAGAAGGAAAGCAGCAACGGTAGTGTAAAGGTTACGGAAAAATACCTAGTACCTCTTGCGAATCCTTGGTCAATAGCAATTTAAATGATACAACTTTAGAAAGTACTGAGCAGGCTAAATATCTTGGCCTAATCGTGGCTCGAGAAACTAAATGAGGGATCGTTTGATAGGCGAAAATTTGGGTCTGGAGGACTAGATTATTGGTACTAGAGTATTGGTAGTAAGATCAATTCTACTCAATAGATTTGCTCGGTTGGTTGCAGTGCTTGCGTTTCTCGTGGGAAATGTATTATCTATGGAAATCCTGTACTGCTTGGTCAAATCATCTTGGTTCTCTGCTGAATTTGCTCACTTCACTAATGGTAGCTCCGGATTGGCCTGCTAGTCGTGTTGTTAGTGTTTTCCTAGTGTTTTGTATACTTACAACATGTTTGCCCAGGAGCCAGTACCCTGTGATGGTTGCTAAAATATTGAATACTTTTGTACTTGATATATTAAGCAGATACTAAATTCATCCTGATATGCATAGGCCAGAGTTCTCTAGATAACTTGCGAGTCGGTATATCTGATCATCTGTTCCTAGCCAGTTCAAGGAAATTCAAAGTTACTTTTCTTGGGATTGGGTGAAGATCGATAGCGTAGAATACTTGTATATGGAGTTTGCAAGTATGCCCAACCTTCGCCAAGACGGCGAAAGTGAGAGGGAGTGCCCTTTCTTGCAAGCTTTCCCGCCATCTCATTCCGAATGACTTGTGATAGAATTCAGAGCTGCCTGACCGTCTGAGAAAACATAAATATTATTGTCCGCAATTGTCACTGTCCTTAAGCAATCGACATCTTCCTGTATGTCCACAAGTTCGGTTTGGAAGACGCTGTAGTGATCTGGTAGTTGGATAGCCTATTTTGCTCCAAGCGCACCCCATCTCCGACCATGTTTTCCCCGTTTGTGGGTCCCGAAACGTTTTGGGTCTATTCATTTCTCCCTGTTATGGATTTCTCCTTTACACATTTTGTCGAAGGTACGAAGTCCGTAATTTTCAGCAGCCAAGCCCAATTCCTAAATGAGATGTGATCACAGTGATACGCTTTCCAGCTAGATAATTTCCGCAATCTGATGCTTTCCCATAATGCTTACGAGTCAGTTTGCTTAGCAGCACATTTACGGCTTGCGTTGATGTTGTGCGTAGGGCTCTGCTGATCCAAAGTAGGTCCCTCCTTGGCACGTGTAGTATGATGGTGGCTGATTTGGCCACTTCAGGCTTAGGCTTCATATAAGGAAGCGACCTGTCCCATTAACACTCGATTGCAACTTTAAAAGTGTAGATGGCTGCGTAGATTTACGCACGAGCTCAAATCTATGGCCTTGGGCAATTTTATCTCAACTGGTCAATAGCCGTCAATCTATTCTATCTTGAGGATCACGCCAAATACTATCTTAAGCGGTCTAAACTCCATAATTTAACTGATTAATATACCACAAAAAGTACGCTCGTCTGAGTTAGGATTGTTTACCAAACAAAGCTGACACAGGATAATTTGTCTAACAGTGCTGAGTTAGTACAATGTTAAGATCGTTTATCGAGCTAAGATAGGCTTTTGCACGGCGTTAAAGATAGCATAGATTAACGTCTATCGTGTATGACAGCAAGATGTTGTTGACGATGTCCCCTTTGTCCAGGAATGGCGCAAGCCTAAATACCTAGAGATATAGCAATTTTTGGAGATGCGTCACGCAGGACTTCATTAAGGAGCAATTATCCGAGGACGTGGACGTAAGAGGGTGTTGCTTTGTCACAAGCTCGTTCGCCACTGCATCCCTGATATGGAGCACTACAAGCGGCTCTGTTATTATTAATTGAAAGGGCGACAAAGTTACAGGTCTGGGAATGAATCTAATGTTGGACAGTCTTCAGTTATCGGGTATGTGATTTAGAGTGAGAACTACTTCTAATATAGCATCGAGCCACATTGCACTACATTCCATAGATTGCTGCAGGTAAATGGATGTAATACCATCTGAATCTGGGGACTTGTATGGCAAAAATGTTCAACAGAACCGGAGCTTTTCTCCTTGGAGCGCGCCAAGTTTCCAAAGTTTGCTTTTTTCAATAAAATTTTTCGCAAAATTTACTTTTATTACTTTCACTTAAATTTTTCTATCTTTGTGCTTGTAAGGCTCATTACTTTTATTTTTAAGTGTATTAGTGTTACTCGTTTACATTGACATAAGTTAATATAATTTTTATTTGCTCGTTCAGTTAGTTACACATTTAAGCTCATATACTTATATACATACATATGTATGAATCCATACAATTGCATAAAATACTATACTTATAAGGCATTATCCTTTGCTGGCTGGCGGCAAAAGTGAAAGTCCTTGTACTTGTTTCACATTTCTCTACATTTCTCACATTTTATTATTTGATTTCAGTTTCTCGTGCATTTTTTATGAGTGCGCTTTCCTTCTTTATTCTTTCGACCCGCATTCCATGCTCGCATGTAAATACTAAATTCAAACTAATTTTGCCATTTTTACTACGCAAGAACATGGAACGATTACTTACATTTGCGCAAAATTACATTGAAACGTGCACATGCACAGAAATACATACATACATATGCCAAATACATACATATGTGTAAGTAAAACTTGTACATTTCCATTTATGAGCGCAAAATGTAATAACGAGAGCTTAAACAAAATTCTGCGCCAGTGCTGCTTTTAATTGGCGATAAGAAAGGGATTACAAGCGAGATTTGTTGAGGGATAAGTGTGAATACATAGTTACATACATATGTACATATGCACTTCTGCATGTATTTAGTTTTCTAACGCTTTAACGAATGTAAGTTTGCTGAGAGATATCGAAAAATATGCGGTTTAAATAAATCTCACATAAAATAAAGCAAATAATACTTCGGCACTATTCCCGCTATGGAAATTAAAGCTTGATTATTTGATTCCCTTTAAATCGAAATTTGATACGTAACGAGTTTTTTTAGTAAGTGGCTTGGAGTGAAAAGGGGATGTGAATACGTTGAAACATGTACTAGCAGAGAAAAAGAAAGTTTAGTTGACATGTTGCTAAGGACCCACCAAAATTGTTGGGCTGTCAACATGCTGCTAAGAGCCAATACAAGTTTTTGGCTATCGACATGTTGCTGGGGACTAAAAAACTTGTTTGACTATCAACACGACGCTAGGGTCTACAAAAATTATTTGGCTATTAACATATTGCTCAGTTCCAAATTTTTTGGCTATCAATATGCTGCTAAGGGCCAATAAAATTTCAACATGTTGCTTGGGACTAAACAACCAATAAACTGGTTTGGCTAAGGTCCAATAAAAATATTTGGCTATCAACATGCAGACTAAAAAACTTGTTTGGCTATCAACATGTTGCTAAGGACAACAAATTTTTTTTGGATATCAACATGTTGCTAAGGATAACACATTTTTTTGGCTATCAACATGTTGCTAAGGACAACACATTTTTTTGGCTATCACCATGTTGCTAAGGACAACACATTTTTTGGGCTATCATCATGTTGCTAAGGACAACACATTTTTTGGGATATCAACATGTTGCTAAGGACAACACATTTGTTTNCAACACATTTTTTAGCTATCAACATGTTGCTAAGGACAACACATTTTTTAGCTATCAACATGTTGCTAAGGACAACACATTTTTTAGCTATCAACATGTTGCTAAGGACAACACATTTTTTAGCTATCAACATGTTGCTAAGGACAACACATTTTTTAGCTATCAACATGTTGCTAAGGAAAACACATTTTTTTAGCTATCAACATGTTGCTAAGGACAAAACATTTTTTTAGCTATCAACATGTTGCTAAGGACAAAAAAAATTTGTTTAGCCATCAACATGTTGCTAAGAAAAAAAGCTTGTCTAGCTATCAAGTTGTTGCTAAGAAAAAAACTTGTTTTGGCTTTCAACATGTTGCTAAGGATGAAACAACTTGTTTGACTTTCAACATGTTGCTAAGGATGAAAAAACTTATTTGACTATCAACATGTTGCCAGGGAAAAAAAAACTTCTTTGGCTATAAACATGCTGCTAAAAACAAAAAAAATTAAGGCTATCCACATGTTGCTGAAGCGTAAACGTTTGTTTGTAAACATCTTGTTGAAAGACTTCAAAAAACCTTCCCAATCCACATTGCTGAATTAAAATTAACTGACCTAGAAAAGCATCAACATTTTGCTGAAACACCAAAATATAAACCAAAACTTAAATTTGAGTTGAAAAATATAAATTTGTTAATCCAGATTTACTTATAGAATGAAAAAAAAGTTGTGTCCATCAGCATTTTGCCCGTCGACATATTGCTGGAAGATCACAGCAAAATTTTGTCTATGAATAAGTTCCAAAGTTTCATAATTTTGTTGTAGAATTGCAATTAGGTCTATCCACATGCTGCTAAATGGCCATTATTTTGTATGTACTTGTGTATATCAGTATCCCTACAATCCAACCCTACCCTTACCACTATTAAAAAAATTTTCAAATTCTTAAATTTGTCCAGACTTTATTATTTGATATAGTTCCATCTTAGCTTCATC